TCACCTTCGCGTGGATATAAAGAACGTTGAAAACGGAGTTTGTATGAAGAAGATATGAATTTCCGAAGTTTATTAAATAATTTGTATTTAAATTTAATCTTTAATTCCGGTATTATCCGAGGACGAGTCATCGGACTCATCCGAAGTACGCCCCGCGTACTCGCGTACGCCCCGTGTACACCGAGGTATGTCGACACTCGCACTCGAGGACTTCGGATACGTAAGTAGTGATGATTTCGGACCAGTACGCCCCACATACTGCAGTACGCCCCGCGTACTCCGAGGCTCCAGCCTCCTATAAATAGGATGCGAGGGCAGCCGACTCCTTTGCTATTTTTCTCTCCTCTCTCTCCTGTTTTGCATCGATTTGCGTGCCAGAAATACCCCGAAGCCCCGGTAATATTCTCGAACCCCGAAGCAAGTCCCGAGATCCCGAAGATCCCGAGAAGTGCGGTTCCCGATCCGAAGCTCTGCCTGCGAGAAGTTCGATTTTTGTGAAGATCTTCCAGATCTGCTGAAGAATACTACTTCTACAAGTCGTAGTGCTGTCCGATCATCTTCTGATCAAGTGAGTGTATACTACCTTTCATAAACACGATAATAATACAAGTATCGTTTGAGTGTATTAAGTATATTGTTGTTTATATGTGTGAATGTGTATTCACTCTCTTCTATCTCATAGATATTATTTATTCTCTATGAAATACGTGTTATGTGTGTGTGCCTCATCTGTTATGTGAAATATGTGTTGATTAAAGCATGCTATACATGTCATTAAACTATGTATAAAAATGTATATTTTTATCTACTAATATGTTGGGCAGAACATGGGTAGATAGTTGGTGTGTAATAAACAGATGAGAGGCCTCGTTGTTGTTTGATTTAGTCATCTAGCGGAGTTTAGATGACGACCACGTACTTTTCTAGATAGTCTTGTGGAACATTAGCAGGTTCGCCACTTGTAGGTGTTAATGAACTTGGGTGTTCATTCGCTGTACTCCATCCCCCTCATGGTTGCCTTATTTGACTTATATTGCTGAGGTACCCCCGAAGCATGTGTTTTCGCCCCGATGAAATATTCTTAGACTAGGTCCCTTATGTTAGTTGTCTTTGGGACATAAAGTGAGAATAACGGGAATGGGTAATTGGGTTATTGTTGGTTGGTGAAAATTAAATATGATTATTTATTGTGGGTTGAAAACCCTATATGCTCACCAGGCTCCCAAGCCTGACCCACTCAGTTTTATTTGTATTACAGGATGTGGCGCGAGGGCATAAGATAGATGAACCATCAAGTTGTTTTGTTTACAAGTCTGTATATGTATATATTTGTTGAATGACTTGTAATGTTATCGTTTATGCTTATTGGTATGTATCGGAACATGACACCCCGAGTTTTGATTATATAATGAAAATACATTTCTTTTATGAAATGCTTTGGTAAACATTGTTTTATCATGTCTTGTTTTTGGGAACAAATTTCGCAACTCTTTCAAATCAAAAAGATTTACTCTGAAATTAATTTAAAAGCATAAATGAAAATCGGTCTTTTCTGGCCGAGATTTTGAGGATGTCACATATACGCAAGCTAGGAGCTATCAAGCACTCTTCTCAATTAGTTTTGAAGTTTCAGGATTCTCCTAGGAAAAGCTGGGGACATCATGTTGATGTCCTTAAAAAAGTGAAAAGATCAATACCATGGATCTAAACTCCCTGTTTGGAAACCTTCGAAACTACGAAGAGACCAAAGCTCTTCGCAAAGATATCATGAAGGAATCAAGCAAGGAAAAGTCTATAACGTTGGTTTCTCAAAAGGAAGCAAAGAAGAACTTCAACGACTCAGATGACTCAAATCAGATTGAAGAGAATGGTAAAGTTATAACTGATAAACTATTTGGCATCACTACACTTATTCTGAAATGATATAAAGAAAGCAGATCAAATGGGGGTCGAAGAGATCATTTCAAGTGAGGCAGTTAAACGAGAAGATCCACTTCAGAAAAGAAAAAATCAGGTAATGGTTTTAACTGTAGATACCCTGGCCATTATTCTAGGGATTGAAAAGAGAAGAAAAAAGATAAAAGTGCTAAGAATTATGAAGTGATGTACAAGAAGATATTGGCTCACATGAATAAGGAGAACATCTCTCTACCAAAAGCTTTAATTGTAAAACATGAAGATTGTGAAGAATGGAAGGAAGAAGAGGATACATCTGAAGATGATGTGATAAATGTTAAGGGTATAATGTCTCTTATCAATGATTCCCCTAATGATAATAATATCATGTGTGGCGTTGATACCCCTCAAGTTGTCCAAGGATCAAGTCAAAATTTGGAACATACTTGGTTACTAGACAGTGGGTGTTCTAAACACATGATTGGTTTCAAGTCTCTCTTAGTAGAATTTTCAGAGAAGGATGGTCCAATGATGGTTTTTCGTGATAATAGTGGAAGAGCTATTATGGGTGATGGAACATTTGAGTGTAGGATGATCAAGCTGAAGGATGTGTTTTATGTCGAGGTTCTAAAACGCAATTTTATCTCCGTCAATCAACTTTGTGATGCTGGATATAAATTTCTCTTTGATTACCATGAAGGAAAGGTTTTCCACTCTAAGAATAAAATTGTGCTTAATGCACTCACGGACAACAACATTTATATGGTTTGATTTTACTTATTTAGACAATGTTGCTCTATAATTTTGATTTTATGCTTTGCTAGTTTAAAATTTTTGAACATAACTGCTACAGTTTTAGTTTATTTCAATTTTTTGCTTTAAAATTTTATTTTAACTTTGATTTTACCAAAGAAGTATACATTGCACATTACTTTAATAACTTTTGACTATGCATGTTCTTCCCTATCTATAGTGACCATATTTGATTTGTTTCTTTAGAAAGGATCAGCATGACATTCCTTGATTGCAGCACCTTCCTAGTAAAGCTAGTTAAAGTTGGCTCTGCATATTTTCTTCATCTCTATAAATTCTCTCGATGATGCGGATACTCACGCTGATTGATAAGTTACATCATATTGATGTGACCATATAGGGGATAATTGTGCCAAAATGTGTTCTTTTTGACACATATCTCTTCCATGTTAAAAATCATATCTCTTTTGAAATGGGATGAGGTAAAGTTAGGTAATATAGCACATCTATTTTCATAGATGCTCTCACAGCAACACCAACTCCCCTATGAAATCCAGAGGTGTCTTAAACAAGATACTGGTCCCACCTTCTCTTCCTTCAAGGGTCACAATGAGTGGAACCTTCGAGTTTTCTCTTGGTGACTCTCATAACTTTAAGGTTACAAAGATTGGTTCATATCCTTCTCTTGTTCTTAGTGAACATGAAGCTTGGAATCAATTTGCAAAACCTCAATGATTAAAGGCATTCTCTCTCTCTCTCTCTCCCTCTCTCTCTCTCTCTCTCTCTCTTTCTTTCTATCTCTCTTTCTCTCTCTCTCTCTCCCCACCCTCTCTCTCTCTCTCTCTGTTTACTATAAATTATGTTTTTGTTTGATGTGGTTGATCTTGTTTGCTCTCTTTATTAGACAGTGTTGAAGGGTAGATATATTAGAAAATGGAAGTTCATTTATGGCCATTCAATTCAAAAGATTTGATGGATTGAGTCTGTATCATGCTTCTGAAAAAGCTGCAAAAACATTGCTTTTAGAGTATTTCCTTGTTTGACTAACTCTTTTGTTTGTGTTATTATATTAATTATATTATTATTTTGTACCATTTAAAAGGATTTGACGGTGGAAATTCATGAGCCAAGTATGTAACAATTTATAAATCGTTGTCCCTAGAAGTATGCTTTTGAATGTGCCTAAATCTCTCTAAGTATCTCATCAGCGAGACCACTTGCTGAGCACATTGAGTCACCCCCTCATGATGATTGTCTAGCATCATCTAAACTTTCTAAGTGGGATTGCCTGGTCCAAATAAAAAAATTAATAGAAAGGCTTGGATGTTTATTCTTAGTTGACTATCTTACCTAACTCTATCCCTGCAAGCATGCTTGTCGTATGCATCCAGTCTGATCTTTTTCTGAAACATTTAGCATAACCCAATGGCTTACCTTAATTGCATAATCATTAGCATAAGAGTTACTTGTCTCATCCTTAAATGACAAAGGGTTATTCATTTCCCTGACCTCCTAGTCTGAGGTATGTCATGGTACCATAATGAACTAATGATGAATCTTTGATTCTAGACTGTAACTAACTCTATGATACAATGATTAAATCATTTCTTGCTGATGTGTTATCATTGTTGATGATTCATGTTGATTCCACCTCATCATGACTGAAACAATCCATTGTCTCCTTACTTTCCTCTTTAAAGCCTTATGATTCAACATAATGTACCATACGCTGATGAGAGCTTGAAAAGTCTACGCTGATGGTTAAGCTAAAACAACTCAACTTATCACACATACTCTCTTCAAAAATCATCAGCACTACTCCTATTGAAGATGATTTGTGTATTACTATAAGGATGCAAAAATAGATTGACAAAGACTATATAGTTGAATCCTATGACTCTGAAGAAGAGGATGTTGATGAAGAGGATAATGATGAAGATGCTGAAGAAGAATAAAACACAACAAATGAAGAAGAAGACTCTATTGATAAAGAAGATGATTTTGCTCAAGGAATAGACTTTCCTCCAAGAGTAAACAAGCATATTCATTTTTCATCAACTTCTTCATCCACTCCCTCTGCTGATGATGTTGTGCAATGTGGATCAACTCCACCTATAGTGCAAACTGGTGATCCACTGATCCAAGATGGGATCTCTCCAAGACAAGCATTTCCTTCTCCTCAAGCTGAGAATGTTCCTCCTATGCCAACACCTTTTTAGACTGCTACTGTTTATTAGGCGAAATCAAGCTCTGACTTTGAAATAGTTGTACTCTCCCAACTTTCTCTACTAGTGAAAATAACTCAATCGTTGGGAGAAAAATTGTCTAAAATTAAACAGGATGTGGCTAATATGAAGAGATTTATGGATTTAGGTTATGCTGATATTGATACTATGGTTATTGGAAATACTCCTCCAAATTATCCAGGTGATAATCTGCCTCCACCTCCATCTCCATCATCAAATCCACCTCCACCTCCTCCACCATCTCATTCCTTACTCATACTCCTCCTGGTTCTCCTCTTCAATCTGATGTTGCCAAAAAGGAGGAGAATAATCAAGTGAGTCCTGATCAACAAATGCAAATGGACAAGCAAATGAAAATGGTGGTGGTTGCATCAACTCCATCTTAGCCTGAGATGTCTGAAGCTAGAAGAGTTGAAGTTGACTTTCAAAAGGAAATTTTTGTTTCTACGATCCTAGACGCTAATGCAACAACTGATGATCAGCCCATTTTATACATTGGTGATCAATCAGATACTGATGACCACGAAGGATTTTTTGATCTGGGATTCATGCCACAAGCGGTTGTTTCTGTTGTTCCTCTGAATGTTGTCTTCCCTGACTCATATTTTGAAGGGGAGATTCCTTAGGGAACTAACAGTGACATTGATTCTGATAATGATCAACTCAATCATCGAAAGAAGAAGGCTCCTTTTTCAGGGGGAGCTCATGATGCTGAAGTTGGAAGTTATTATGTTGTTGGTGATCCTTCATGTAACGCCCGTAGATCTGGGCTAGTCAATTTAGAGGCAATAAGTGTCGAAAATGACTTTTTGGAAAAATATTATTTAGAATAAATAATCTTAACCAAGTTGTAGTATATGTTACAAGGTTTCCGTACATATAAAGACCGCCGAAATCCGAGTTATAACGAAGAAGTTATGACCCGTCGAAGTTTCGCGACGGAACCGGCATGATATCGGGAAATGTAAATAGTGAATTTACGATAGAGCGAGATTTAGCCTTAGAGATCTAAATGAAATTCGTAGAATACATTAAAACGAAGCATCCATAAAAAGAACTCCCAAATCTGACTTCGTATGAGGAAGTTATGATTTTTCGAAGTTTCGTATTAGCAGTGTACAGCCTGAAATTCGAATATTAGATTGAGCGGTTTTAGCCGACACAACCTAAACGAGAATCTAATATCTCGTTACTAGTAGCGTAACAATAAAAAGGCAGACAAAAATGAACATCAGATGAAGAAGTTATGAGATTTTAACAGACCAATACTGTCCCGGCCTGTTAAAAATATAACTTTTAAAATAAAGTCAAAATTAGCCGACGGAGTCTAAACGAAAGTTGTAGAGTACGTCTCCACCTACGCGTGGATATAAAGAACGTCAAAAACGGAGTTCGTATGAACGAGTTACAATTTATAATAACATATTTACGTATTAAAATAAAGTATAAATCATATATACGTACATATATATATATATATATATATATATATATATATATATATATATATATATATATATACATATGTATATATGATTAGAAAGGTATCGACGTTGCGGTCATTATAAGACTAATGTTGAGTTCTTTCGACATTATTTTAGTACAAATATCATTAAATCCATTTAAAATAGTATTAGAGAGGGGTGTTTAGTTGTTTATATAACTAAAAGATCATTAAGTAATTATGGATGGTAGTTTTTGAAAATCCAATTAGCATAAATAAGAGCATTGGCATCTCATATTTCTTGCACCATTCTCTTGATTCAAGAGTCTTTCTCTCCTTATCCCTCGAGCATTTCGGTCCCTCATGATTCGACTTCTCTTTCTGTAGTTTTTAGTATAGTAAGGTGAGCGCTGAAACGCTGCATGAATCTTTCTTAGAAAGATTCAGTGACGCAGTTCTGCCCCTACAGAGCCCGACTCCTAGCTAAAATCCCCTTGTAAGTAAGTTATGCTTACCCTATTTTAATATAGCTTCTATTTAAAATTAATATTGTTATTATGAACTTATAATAAATATTTGAGCTATTATTATGACTTATATAAGTGTCATTATAATATCTTTTTAGCTACTCGCGGTACGGGGAATCTGGTTTAAAGAGCCGCATATGGTTGTTGGATTTCAGACGTGCTATACGCCAAAATGGTCCTGCCCTCCGGTGTTTTATGTCTGGCCCCTATCTGTACATAGTGGTTGGAAAGTATTGTTATAATAATAATAATAATAATAATAATAATAATAATAATAATAATAATAATAATAATAATAATAATAATAATAAGACAAATAATTAGTCACGGTAAATATTAGACTAAAATCTAGTGATAATAATACTAGGGTCCGTCGAAGAAAATTATTTTAAAGTAAACGAAGTGTTGTCCAAGTACCGAGTCACCACCTTCTCAGGTGAGTGCATAGTTACTTTCATCTTACACATAGATATGAAGTATTTTATATAAACTACGTGCTATGTGTGCATATTATCTGAATACTTGTTGTCTATGCTGGATGAACTTTTTTTGTACATGTTTTAAATGATTTGAACTGTATACGTATTTTAAATATACAAGTATGTTGGGTATAAGATGGGTAGATGAATGATGAGATATAAAACATGATGTGAGTAAACATTGGCAACTATAGACTTAGTGCCTAACAAATAACATCGACAACTATGGACTTAGTGTCTATTGGACAAACACTGGTAGCTATGGACTTAGTACCTGTTAGGAATTGGTAGCTATAGACTTAGTACCTATTAGATAAACACTGGTAGCTATGGATTTAGTACCCAGCAGCTATGGAATTAGTGATTTACGAACGAGCATTAGCAACTATGGATTTAGTGCCAGTCCTATAACCCTGGAAGCGAAGGACTTCAGAATGAACGAATGCAGGATAAATGACTCTTAGGGTAGACTCTTAAGAGTAAAGAAGATAATGGGGATGGGTAATTTGGTCGATTATTTGATTGTTTAAACATAATAATTATATTATTGTGGGTTCAAAACCCTGTGTACTCACTAGGTTTCCCAACCTGACCCACTCAATTTATTTGTATTACAGGTGTTGAGATGAAGTCACATTACACTGAGAGATTAAAGAGATGTAGATCACTAGTGTAAATAAATGTAAGTTCTGTTTATTCTTAGGTTTCTGTATTGATGATGACATCCCAAATGTTTTAAAACGAATTAAAAATACTTTTCTTTGGAAATGCTTTGATAACGTAATTATCATGTTTTACTGGGAACAAATTCCACAACATTTTTATTAGAAGAGGTACTCTGATTTTTATAAAGCATAAACAAAATCGGTCTTTTTTGGCCGTGAAAATGGGGATGTCACACTTCAACACCTCTCCTTCCAAGAAAAGAAAAATCATTTTTTATCTGAATGATTTGGCTAAATTATGGGGTATAACTATTGATGACATAAGAGAAATCATGATAGAAAATAATGTTTCTATTCGGGAGTACATCTAAGGTAGAAAACGAAGTTCTACAAGAAATATCAATGCAGCAAAATCAGCTAGATCAAAAGTTGATCTCGATAACTCCAATACGATGAAATGTAGGAATTATCTTAAGGTACGCTAAGAGTAGGATTTTGGGGATGGAATAATTGTAAGTGAGGGAGAGTTGTAACACGCCGATTTCATTCTATAGTAGATTTTAATATAACCATTTGGTTATAAAATTCGAACTAGGAATATATTACTTTTTATCCAAAATAATCATCATACACATTTATTAGACATAAATACGATTACCATAGATATAAAGAACGTTTAAATCTGACTTTGTATGAGGAAGTTATGATTCTTCTAAGTTTTGTGTTCACCACTATATGGCAAAGTGTGTTGTAAAACGTTAATCAAATATAGGTTTCTTATTAGCCTAAGTAATCTAAACAAAATTTGTAGAAAACATAAAAGAAAAATCATTCATATAAGGAACGTCCAAACCTAAAGTCGTTTGACGAAGTTATGATTATTTAAAGTTTCGATGCCATACAATACAACGGTGTGCGACACAAAATTCGAAATTTAGATCGGTTGATTCTTAGCCAAAATAATGTAAATGAGAGTTTAATATCTCTTCAAAATGAATCAGTCGATATAGAGAACATCAATAAAAAAATTCGTACGAAGGAGTTATGAATTTTACATGGTCTATTGTAGTGTAATTTTCATAGCTGTTAAATTTAAAATAGGATGCAAATTAGCCGAAGGAGTATAAACAAAAGTTGTGTCACTCATAAATACCTATGTGTGGATGTACAAAATGTCGAAAACAGAGCTTGTATGTGGGAGACGCGATTTTTAGAAGATTGAGATTCATACCTACCACACACACATCGTTCCTAGGTTAGTAGTATGGCGTGCCTGGTGTTCTAGAAGGTGGGATGTGGACCACCCGGGTGACGACACATGGAAAAAAGGTAGGTATATCATCAACCAGAGATATGGCACATCCCTGGATTATGGTGTGGTGTGCCTCCCTACTCTGCTATATATAGAAGTCGAAATTCAGCCATATTCCACACAATTCATTCTCCATTCTCCCAGAGTTCTTTCTCTCCTTTTTGGTATGACTTTCCCCTAGTTTTTAGAGTATTTTAGTAAAGCCCTGAAGCATTAGAGAACCAAGCGAATAGAAGCTTTCTACTTTCCGCCAGAAATTTCTATAAGTTAAGTTGTATTAACTACACTTTAAGTGTAAGTTATATTTATATTCATAGTCATTATTATGAATGTACAAATAAGATTTATTAGTGATGAAGTCATAATATTGATTGATCTTCTTATGGAAATGATGTCAAGGATAGATTTAGTGAGGTGTTTAAAGTGGCATTTCCAAACAGTATACTTTGTATACCAAACGGACCCTACCTCCGATATGATCTTACCTAGTTGTTCCTTATTTGATAGATCTGGATGTATTCATTGGGATTGTTGAGGAATCTAGGAAATAGTATAAGTACAAACGAATAGTGAAGCACAATAATATTTGAACTTAGATTGTTTAAAAGGGATAAGTTGAAGCATTAGCCCATGAGCTACATTCCTGAGGATCTTCCACCTCAATCAAGTGTGTTTTTCTCACTAAAATACATATATATATATATATATATATATATATATATGACAATATTTATCCTCTATATGTTAGGATCTAGTTGCATTGTATTATGCTATTAGACAATTAGACTAGTTTAGTTAGTTGCATGTTGTCTTCGATTATTTATCTATTTGTCTTCTATATGTGTGTTGATATATTACGTGGGGAGTTGAGGGCAAACCAGATTCGTGATGAAGGCCAATATACTCGGGGGGACTAGCTTTATGGTAAAGGCTAAGGGGTCGACCGACTTTATTTTGAAGGCCAAAGGGGCAAACCTGATGGGTTTTAGCCATAAGAACTTTCCTATGTGCGCATGCAAAACCCTAATGCTTGGATCTAGGCTTTCTAATCAAACATGCTTTGAATCCAAGACTTCTAATGACTATTTAGGTGTAATAACAATACTGAAACAGATCTAGAATCATACCTTTGGATTCCTTGTTGATCTTGTTGTCTTGGAGCTTCTAGAGTCACAATTGTCACTCCTCTAATGGCTTACAAACACCAACTAGCAAAGAGGATGATTTGAGAGAGAAGAGAGGGGATGGAATTCGACCAGAGTATCCTTACTTTAGAAGATGTGTCGAATTCCTTCAGCCATAGGGTCTATTTATACTTGTAGACTCCTTAAGGGTTACAGCTTAAACCCTAACTGGATAACTTAGACTTTAAGTTAATCCATATCCTTACCTTAGATACCCTTTGGACGATTTTGGCTTATCTAAGCCCTAGAAATCGTCCAACCTATCTTGCATAAGGATTTACAGTCTAAAGTGTAACTATCAAAGAATTGACAGTTTATACCCTCTTATTTAATTAATCTCTTTAAGTCACCAAATTAATTCCAATTAATTCTATCACTTATATTAATATATTATTTTTTATATTATTCTCATAATATACTAATAATATTTACTCTCTCTTAATAAATCATCCTATCAAGTTGCTATGGTGAAGGCAACCCAAAAGGACCATGCACAATCGGGTCAAATACTTTATGATGAAGGCTATGGGGTGGACCAGCTTTATGTTGAAGGCCATTATGTGTATGCATTATGTATGTATGGTGGTATGTGGTATTTTGGGGAACTCACTAAGCTTCGTACTTACCCAGTTGTTTACAGATGATTTCAGTTATTTCTATGGTTTGTGAGGAGTTCAAGTCTTTCATGTACACATACACATTGACATCATGTTTTCTGCATAACTTAAGTATGTTCTGATTTAATTGAATAAATAAAACTGAAAAAATTTACTATAAAAATCAGGATGTCACAGAATGCTTCCCAGATTATGATAGGTCACTACTTTGTGATGCAAGGTATCCTCCCAATAGTGTCTCACAATGTGTAAAATTTAATATTTAATATGTGGTCATGCAATTCGCACACAATGATCCACATCCTCAAGTATGCTTTTCCCCCAATAACATTTATTCACACACACAAATTCCATATGCAATAAGAAAGTCCAAAAAATAGTAATATACTATGTTTTAAAGTAAATAATCTGACTATATATTATGTGTGATAAATTATACCATAAAGTCATAAATGTTCATAACCTTTTCGGAAAAAAGAAAATAAACTTTAACAAGTACCAAAACCTCAATGTAAGTTTTCAAAACTTTAATCAAAGAACTAACATAACTTTTCTAAATAATTTTGACATGTGCCTTATGTTGGGGTAAATGTCACCAAGTACTCACCATGGTAATTACATATGTCTAGTTAAAATTCTCCATTTACTCTTAGCCTTAATCATTTCCAAATATCCTTCAATTCTTATACATATGATTTATTAGAAAGTATAACATTATAACATGATATGACTCATATATATAATAATTTCCTTTTTGTCTTTATAACTAATCCCAATCTTTTATTCCAAATTCGCAATACCTTTTATATTGACCAACAACATTTTCATAACTTGCAATCCCATTCTTTCATGCTAACAATACTTTTTCAAATTATATGTCACCTTATTCCTAATTTCATGAACCACTTGATTGAACAACTTGATACACAAAAGATTAATTAAAACGATAACTAAATACTAATTATGTTTTTGAATTCATGAAGACACATACATTTTCTTTAACATGCTTGTAATTGTTCCATAAAAACATTCTATAATGTATATCTCAAAAAATTTCGAGTAGTACAATTCAAGAGTGTGAATCACATACCTGTAGTTTGTTTGATTCCAACTACTATCAACAAATAGCAAGTTATTGTCAACCAATAACATGTTAAGTTAACTCATGTTATGATTATCTAAACATAATTTCTTCATGCAATAAATTTTCAAGTGTTTGTAAATTCCTTTAATAAAATCAAATTAAATCCATTAAAAGGGAAAAATGTTGATTTTTACCTTCATTTATTGGGTTAGATGACAAAATTGTTTCATTGTACTCTTGAATCTCCTTGGATTTTTCTTTCCACACACCAATACACCAAGAAAAAACACACATAAGGTTACAAAAGGTGTAATAGTGATTTTGTGTTAAATAGGTATATTGGGGTAAAAGATGAGTCAAAATGATGAAAACTTTATAGCACCGCATGTATACTTGTTAGGATCTAACCCAATCCGAAATATGACCAAATTAAATATCTGAGTATGATTTTTATCCAAATTTGGAGGCTCGCACCTTTCTCAACAAATTTGGTATACATCATATTCTTTGTAGCAAGGATTTCTCTCTCTCTCTCTCTCTCTCTATATATATATATATATATATATATATATATATATATATATATATGTTACAATCTTATTTAGATATAAAAAAGTCACCATTTCCAAGATCCAATGTAGGTCTCTCTGGCTATTTGGGTACTTTTGCATAATTGTGAATGTTTGTATCGATCGGATACACTTCAAGTATAATAAACAAGAACAAAATAACTAAACAAAATAAAGAATAGAAAACTAAAGAACACGAAATAATCACAAAGATGTCTTTCACCAAGAAAGGAGTTGTTTTCACCAAGAAAACGGGTTGTCACAAAGACATTCACCAAGACGACTACATTAGGGTTTCAACATAACGTTAAATATATAATAAATTATACTAGTGTATCTCATTAATCAAGGGATTGTATCTAGTCTATACTAAGAACCGGTCCTTATCACCAAGATATTGGATATGTTATCTATTATATGCATATCTGTATAATTACCTAATATACAAGGATTACATATGATCACTATCTACACGTTGACCCTGAAAAGGCTTGAGGCGCTAAAATCGGTGCTAATATTAGCACTGGCATTGGCATTTAGTGTATAAAGTGCTTGACTCATCAGATCATAAGGTGTGACCTTACAATCTCCCTTATCTAATGATATCAAAATTAATCTACTTCATAGGAGTCATGAAAAGAACCATTGTAGAATTTGTCAGCTTCTTTCAAAATTTTAGGCTTTACCCACATTAATTCATTAATTTGAAGTTCTTCCAATCTTTTGCTAAAATCAAGATAAATTAGGACATGGTATACTCTTTCAAATTATATATGACGAGTCCTTCCATGAGAATATGAAATAAATTATCAGTGGGTGCAGCGCGAAGATCATCAGGTCATTGAAAGTACATGTGGTTTTAACTATGAAGATAAAAATACCATGTTCTGGTTCTCGAATGAACATGTGCTGAACTGGTTCAACACCCACTAGCAGTTCGTTGTTGATGTAGCGAGTGTCATATAGAAGAAGAAACTTGATAGACCAGTTAATGGCATAAGATTCAACTTCTTGACTTTGTTAAGCAGCTATTGAATGGCTAACTTCACCTCCTGAGCATGAATACCTTTATGTTTGTCAATAATTTCCTAAATTTGTATCTACAAGTTGTAGCAAAATTTGACTACATCACAAGCAAGTACAACCGTAGTGTATTCATACACACTCATCTTTTCTGACCAAGTGAAGCTTCAATGATTCATTCTTTGGTTTAGTGCACCTTACCCTGATGATGGGATCAGGCTTTGATCTATGAGCTAGAACATCTCTAAACTTCTTTCTGTTGATCCTGGCATTCAGCTCTGAAATCCTATGTTGTTTGTCCATATTATTGTTGAACAACTGAATATTCTTGTTTTTAATATTATTGCTTTAAACATTAGTACAAGTAAAAGCCTGATCAAGTTTAATGGGTTGACGTTCTTCCTTTCTAGCTCGAATGGTGGAATTATTCTCTATCATTATTTCTCTAAACTTCCTTAACAGTTATATCCAATTCTTTAGCTAAGTCATTCAGGTAAACAATGAGCTTGTTTTTCTTGGAATGAGGAGGGGTTAAAGGATCACCAACGGCAAAAGAGCTTCCAGCTTCAACTCCATTAGCTCCCCAAGGAAGGAAGCTTTCCTCTTTCTAGGATTGAGCTAATCATCATCAGACTCTTTGTCACCGTTAGTTCATTGAGGAATCTCTCCCTCAAAATATGAATCGGGGTAGATGATGCTCAAAGGAACAAAAGGAAAAATTGCTTGTGCCATAAATCCTATATCAAGAAACCCTTCATAATCACTAGTCTCAAATTGTTCACCAGGATATGGGATAGGTTGATCATATTTTTCAGCTACAAAAATTTCCTTTTGATTATCAACTTCAACCCTTCCAACTTTAGATATTCCAAGATGAGATGGAGTTGATGAAATCACCACCATTTGCTGATCATTTATTTGTTAACTATTATTCCCCTTTTTGGCATCATCAGTTTGGGGAGGAGATGGAGGAGGTGGAGAAGGAACACGAGGAGGGGGACGGGATAGTGGAGGAGGAGGTGGAGGTGGATTTGATGATGGAGGTGGAGGTCGAGGAGGATTATCACCTAGAGAATTTGGTGGAGTGTCATCAATAACCATATCATCATCATCATCCAAGGTCATAATGTGTTTCATATCTTCCACATCATTCTTTAATCTAGTCAATCTTTCTCCCAACGATTATGTTATCTGCACCAATATAAAGAGTTAAGAGAGCACAGTAGTTTGAAAATTAGAGTTGGATTCTCCTGGATAAAAAGCACTCTTAAGAGGTGTTGGTATAGGAGGATCAATTTCAGCTTGATGAGAGGGAGACAATGATCTTGTAGAAATCACATCTTGGATCAGTGAATAACTAATTTCCACTTAAGGTGGGGTTGATCCACATTGTAAAATATCATTTGCAAAGGGAGTGGATGAATAAGTAGAGGAGAATCAAATGTGTTTGTTCAATATTGGAGGAGAATTCATTTCCCGAATAGAAGCTTCACCTTTACCAGTGACAGGTTCATCCTCTTCATCTTTAGTGTCTTCTTCATCATCAGTGTCTTCCTCATCATCAATGTCTTTTTCATCATCATCCTCATCATTCTCTTCTTTAGAGTCAGAGAATTGAACAATGTAGGGGTTTGCAATCCATTTTTTCATCCTATGAGTAATATGTAAATCATCATCAGAAGGAGAAAGATTGAGGATAGGGCAGGAATTAGAATGATGATTCCATGATTATTAAAATAACCTTCATCACGAGCAAAAATTATTCCACCAACGGGGATATGGAACATACACTAGCTACTTTTTCCCAGTGATACAATCAATCACTTAATCAAGAAAAAGTTAAGCAAAATCCAGTATTTTGTTTCACATAATGGAATATAAAATTCTTTGCTCAAAAAGATTCAATCCAAGCTCCTAGTATTGTGTCCAAGACATATACCAATTACCCCTACTAGGTTCTTCCACCCTACACCAAAATAGTAATGAAGAGTATACTTGTATGGATCACGAGAGGTGCCCTAAAGAGAGAAGTTATACCCTAATCTTTCAAGAATGTATTTTCATTATTCTTCTAAAGGAGTTTCAGAATAGTTTTCTAATCGAGGAAGTAAAAGAGCAGTTCGAAAAGATTCCATATTAATAGTAACCCCAGAGTGACCATCTCCAATGGTTCCAGTAATGGTTTGAGCACTAAAATCAACAGAGTAGGACTAGTATAACTCACACACTTGTCTAGGGTAGAATGGCTATGGGAAGTCATAGAAGGCATATCGAATAGGACAACTCTTGACATAGCTGACGAAGTATTCAATTCCTGAGGTCACAAACCATTTTGGGATGACATCAGAGAATGCCACATTGTTTTCTTGAATAACAATGGGAGAGTCAGGAGCAAGAGGACCTTTGACAATATTGGTATTAAGGGAAAACTCGTACATACCCTTTGATATGATGATAGCTTGAGGAAGGTGATGATTGAGAGAGCCTTTTTCGAGAGAGAAACCAAGTGCTTGAATGAATTATGAAAGTGACCTAGGAGAGAATTTTCCCAATTTATCTGTAAATTTTCTTGCCTTTTACATAACCAATGATTGAAGAGATCGTCACCGTAAAAATCTCGTATCCCGTGATATTGATAGATCTTTCAATCGCCACCCAAAAGTTACCATTGAGATAAGGAAGATATATCATTGTGACATAACATCAGTGGTAAATCCATCAGCGGGAGTAATCAGCGTTTCAGAGTTACAGCTGGTAATCAAGTAAGTTTGTGATGTCTCCTGATAGTATATGTTTGAACTACTATTCACTAACATAGTATTGTGAGATTTCATCAGCATGTGGTTTAATATGCTGACTCATTAATTCACTTTTATTGGAAGAAAAGGATAAGAGTGGAATTATGTGTGTGATAAGCTAAGGTGTTTTAGCTTAACCACCAGCTTAGAGTTTTCAAGCTCTCATCATTGTATGGTGCATTACACTGAATCATAAAGCTTTAAAGAAGAATGTAAGGGTAAGAATGGGTTAGTGTGTGTGATAGTCTATGGTACATAAACTAACCATCGACACAATGTTTCAAACTCTTATCAATGTGTGGTATATCATACTGAATCATAAAGTTTTATTGAGAATATATTAAGGATAGAATGAATTGTTTCAATCATGCTGAGGTGGAATCAACATGAATCATAAACGGTTTCAGTCATCAATAAGAAGTGGTTCAACTCCATATCAAATAGATGAGTTTAAATCTAAAGTTTCAAAGTTCTCTATCAATTTGTTCAATGGTTCCATGTCATACCTCAGACTAGGAGGTTAAGGATATAAATAACCCTTTGTCATTTAAGGACCAAACAAGTATCTCTTATGCGGATGACTGTGTAATAAGGGTAAGCCAATGGGTTGTGCTTGATGTTTCAGTAGAACATGAGACTTGATGGATACACCAAGCATGCTTCCAGGGACAAGAGTCAGCTAAGAGACAATTAACTAAAAAGAAACACCCCAACTCTGTAATATTCTAATTTGGACCAGGCAATCTCACTTTGAAAGTTTAGACGGTGCTAGACAATCAGCTTGAGGGGGTGACTTAATGTCATCTCAATAAACGATATCGCATATGAGATACTTAGAGAGATTTACAATAGCATGCTTCTAGGGACAATGAATTTTCAATAATTACATACTTGGCACATGAACTGCCACGGTAAAAAAAAATGGTTAAATAAAAATAAAAAAATATAAGAATACAAACAACACAGTTAGTCAAACAAGGAAATATTCTAAAAGCAATATTTTTACAGCCTTTTTCAGAAACAAAATAAAGACCTGATTCATCAAATCTTTTGAATTAAAGTGCCATAAATGAACTTCCTTTTTTTCTGATAAATGTGTCCCTCAATGTTGTCTATAAAAGAATGAGAAAACAAGATCAAATATATCAAACTAAAACACAATTTTTAGAACTAATGAGAGAAAATGCCTTTAATCGTTGAAGTATTGCATATTTATTCCAAGCTTCATGTTCACCAAGAATAGGAGAAGAGCATGAACCAGTCTTTGTAATGAATGAGATAAAAGGATCCAATCATTGTAGCCTTTGAGTTATGAGAGTTACCAATAAAAACTCGAAGGTTTCATACATTGTGATTCATGATAGAAGCGATGAGGACCACCTTCTTGTTAAAAAGGTCTTTCGATTTCAGAGGGGGAGTAGTGTTGCAATGACATCATCTATGGAAATAAGATGTGCTATGTTACCTAACTTCACTTCATCGCATTTCAACGGAGATAGGATATTCAAGAAGGAAGAGACATGTGCCCAGAATAACATATTTTGATATAGTTCACTTCTATCTAGCCTCATCAATAAGATGCTTCACGTCAATCAGCGTGAGCATCAACGTTAGGGAGTGAGTAGTTGGCACTGAAGAAAAGATGTAGAGCTAGCTTCAACTAGCTTTACTATGAATATGTTGCAACGAAGGAATGATATGTTGATCCTTTCCAAAGGAACAAATCAGTCTAGGTCACCATCGAGAAAGAAGAACATGCATAAGCAATATTAGTAGTATAATGTACAATACATACTTCTTTGGTAAAATAAAAGTTAAAAAGACTTTTTGAAGAAAAAGGTCATAGTAAATTAAAATTTTAGCAGCTTATGTTAAGAAGTCTTAATGTAGTGAACCAAAAAGTAAAACACATAAAGTAGCATTGTCTAAACACATAAAATCAAAACATATAAATGTTGTTGTCCCTAAGTACAGTGAACACAATTTTTTTTCTTCGAATCAAGAACCTTTCCTTCATGGAAATAAAAGAGAACCTTATAACAAGCATTGCAAAGTTCCCTAATGGAGATAAGATTGCTTTTTAGACCTTGGCATAAAACACCCCCTTCAGCTTGAACGCCCTACATTCAAATGCTCCAACATTCTTGACATCTTCTTTATTAGTGTTGCCAAAAACCACAATAGGACCATTTCTCCACAAAATCTGTTAAGAAGGACTTGAGACTGGTCATGTGTATAGAGCACCCACTGTCAAGGAACCAAGTATGTTCTAGATTTTGACTAGACCCTTGGACATCTTGAAAGGTATCACCATCACACATGTTAAGATTACCATCGGGGTAATCATCTATAAGATCCTTAAGACCCGTAACATTCAGCCCCTCACCTTCAAATGTATCCTCTTCTTCCACACATTCTTCACAATCCTCTTGTTTTGCAATAAAAGCTTTTGTTAGAGAGATGTTCTCCTTCTTCATGTGATCCAACAGCTTCTTGTACAACACTTCATAGTTCTATGGACTTTGAGCTTCTTTCGTATCTTTACAATCCCTAGGAAAATGGTAAGGGCTTCCACATTTAAAACAGTTACCTGTGTTTATCTTCTTTGAAGTGGATCTCTTTGTTGAACTGCCTCCTTTAAACTGAGCTCTTCGAACCCCATTTGATATGCTTTCTTCATAACGTTTGATAATAAGTACAGTGATGGCAACAAGTTCATCAGTGATTTCTTCACCACTTTCTTCACCCTGATCTGAGTCATCTGATTCGTTGATAAACTTCATTTCTTCCTTCTGAGAAACCAAGGCTAAATTTTTTTCCTTGCTTGAGTCCTTCATGATGTCTTTATGAAGAGCTTTGGTCTCTTTGTAATTTCGTAGATTTCCACACAAGGAGTTCAGATCTATGACATTGATCTTTTCCCCGTTCTTAAGGACATCAGCGTGTTGTTCCCAGCTTTTCCCAAGAGACTCCAGGAACTTCAAAACCATCTAAGAAGAATGCTTGATAATTCCTAGACTGCACATATCATTTCTCAAATAGTTAAACCTGTTAAATGTTTGGTTTAGTGACTCCCCTTGTTGAGTGAAGAAATGCCCATATCTCCGATTGAGGTTGTTGACTTTAACGCCCGATTCCTGGTATGTATTTAATTCTCAATTTATTCATTTTTGTATAGAAACTCGACGAGTTGGAGGCCCTAAACTCGTTGAGTAGAGATGGATTTGGACGTGGGATGTGAAGTCTACTCGACGAGTCGAGGAGCCTTAACTCGCCGAGTAGGTCCATCATAACGAAACCCTAATTTTTAGGGTTTTACACCCTACTTAAACACTTTAAACCCCATAAGTTGGCCTCATTTACATTCTCCATTGTCCCAAACCCTAGCCATGGGACCCTAATCTACTTTGAGAGTTTTGACATTTGTGTGCATCCTTTGTGATTTTGAAGAAGAAGATTCTTGAAGAAGGAGCAAGGAAGTGTAGGAGGAGAATAGATCCAGAAGTTGAGCTTCATTTCTGGTTCATCTAAGGTATAAGGCTCCTTTCTTGTCTATAGAATGTTTAGATCTAGTTTTAGGATGTTTTCTCCATATTTTGGTCCAAGAATGTTGATCTTTGGGACCTGGACGTCCTATGTGGGCAAACCTTTCAGATCTAGCATCTTTAGGTGACTTCATGGAATAAAGGTGCCAACTTTATGGTGATGGAAGCCCCATGAAACTTGTGGACCATCTTATTCGCCTTTTGAGCCAAGTAGTCTATGCATGCAAGTAAAGATAGGAACTTTAAGTGATCAAACTGCCCCTAGAGTCCAGATCTATGATCCTATGGCGTATCTTGAAGTTTTGATGGTTTTTGAATTTGGAACTAAGTCATTTTGAGCTAGGGTTAGGGTTCATTTCTTCTAGAATGGGTCTTAATGGGTAAAGTCAGAAACTTTACCCTCGTAGATGTGTTTTCGACTCAGATCTGGAATATGGGACTTAGACTTGAAGAATTATGGCTTAACACATTAAGAAAGCTTATCAGATTGAAGAACTCGACGAGTTCATAGAGGAATTCAATGAGTTGATTCGAAATGCCCCGATTCTGTAAAGGAAGGCCTCGATGAGCTCAAGGACAGAGTCGACGAGCTGGGTGGGAAAGTCCCGATTCTGTGGATAGGAGGAACCCGATGAGTTGGATCGTGATTTCAGGGTTTTATGATTTATGGAACTCGGCGAGTTGATGGGCCAACTCGACGAGTTGAGTCAACCCAGAATGTTGACTTTGACCAGAATGTCGACTTTGACCAGGGCGTTGACCTTGACTTTGAATTTGACCAAAGTTGACCCTTAAGGGGTCATGAATATGAAATGATAATTAAGGAAATCTTTTATGTATAGGAGTTTGATTTGGGTGGATTGTTGGAGCTGAGGATTTCTAGCCACTTTACAACATTTGAGGTGAGTTACTTTCCAGTAAAAGTGGGTCGAAGGCATTAATGCCGACCAACTAGTAGTTGATTATAGTTGAGATGATTGTATTTGTGATAATTGTCTGGCATGCCACTATCTGTTATGTTTTATGTGCTAGTATGCTATGACATTATGTGATAGTGGTAGGAGGGGTGGGATAGACCCCATTACAGGTCGAAAG